GAGCAGCCGAGGTCGAGGCCACAACTGGGCCAAGCAGCCCAAGCCCAAGGCAGTTTCCAAGAGCCATCCTCCCCGCAGCAGCTGCAGATGCAGAGGCCGGGGGGGCTTGACACAAGAATCCTATGGTTTCCCAAAGCAAATGCAAGCTCCCTATTGACAACATGTCTCGTTGAGGTTGCAACGCCAGCTTATTGCGAAGTTGTAGCGATGAGTGCCCCAAGCTATGCCTTGTCCTTTTGGATTTGTTGGGCTCTCGGGTCAGAAGCCATTTGATCCGGGCATTGATGCCGCACTGTCCATGTAGCCCTCCCGGTCAACAAAGCATGAAGGTCCCGTTTACACTCGCCTAATTTTTCTGAAGCTCTAAGGTCTCCCTCTAGAAGGGACACAAGTTGACTTGGCGCCCCTCGATGCTTGCTCGGGGGAGGGTATCATCCCACGAAACCCCTACAGTAACCTTCAGCCCCGGCCCTAGACCTTAATCGGACCTTCAACCTGACCCCGAACCCCCCCCAACGACCTGTACTTCGCTGATCACTCACCCATCCTAAGCTCTGCCGTACTTTCAGAATGCCGGCTCCGCCAGCTGAGACGCCAATTGTGCAGGCCGGCGTGAGGTTTCTGCTGCATGGTCATAGATAGCATCAGGGATATTGTGAGGAGCCGGCCTCCGAACATATCCATTTAAGCTGCCCTCATGCCACTCTACCGATTTGGTTTCTGCGGGCTTTCTGAAAGCATTGCAGCCAACAGCGACAGCAGTTTGCATGGACGTAGGGCCAGGACCAGGATGAATCCCTTACTCATGTTGTGGAGTGCCTGGGCCGAGTTCGGACTTGAAGATTGGCTGTGTGGCTATGGATCCTTCTGCGGCTGTATTGACCTATCAGATTGCCAGGACTCTGCCCCAAGGGCAGCTATGAACCCGCAGAAGGAGGGCGCGCAAAAGGAGGGGAGTGCTCAGCAACGATGTAGCCACGCACTTGTGGTCGTTTCTGCAGACTGTCGATATACCAGATTCCTGTTGGCAAGAATGTCCAGTACGTGCCGTAGCTGCAATGTGAGGAGTTGCACCTTCTCCAGCAGCAGATACAGTATCACCAGCACATGCAGTGCCGTGGCGAGTTTCGGTGGACTGTGCAGGGTTCCATTGGTGCTTCCCTTCCACTGAGCATCGACGCTGCAGCACGATTTACCACAGACCAGAACGCTAGAAAGCATCCAGTAGCCGCTGCAGTCTGTTGCAAGAGCTGTAGCTAGCCATGATGAAGAGCAGCCAGGCAGCAGATGCAGAAGAAGATGGAAGAGCGAATGCAAAAGTTGCACCTTGGTTGTCCAAAACCTTCATTGGTTTCCATTGTTTTCGAAGTCCATCCTAAATCAAGACTTTTACTTCTACCCAGTGCAATGTGGGGGAGAATTGCTTCAGCGTGTGCCGAAGAGCTGTGGCTTTGTGCGACGCAGTTGGTAGTTTCCTGAAGTAGGGGGGGGCCCAATATAGACCCCAAAGTACTACAGCCCTTTTATAGGGACTCCGAAAGAGGTACCGTAATTTTGGGAAAGTCCCAGTTTGTTGCTTGTGCCATGACAGCTTCCAGCTTCTTGTCCCAGGAAGGAGCTGGGATACTTCCCTGGCCCTGACGGGTCTGGCCAACAGCCACAGGCCCTCATGGAGGAGCAGAGTAGGGGTGGGTTCCTTTACAGGGGTTCTAGTGGTTATTCAGGGATATATTTGGGTTATGTAGGGCAGAATGCTTCAGATGGGTTAAGGACGGGATTCAAGCTCCAAGGCTGCTGCATCTCTGTCAACCTATAGCTCTGCTCTCTTCTTTGCGCAGTATCTTTTCAACTCCAACCCTCGGCTCCCCGACCCAAGCGAAGGAGGAGGATGAGGACGAAGAAGACGACTTGGACTCCCTAGGCAGACGGCTTTCAAATAGAGCGCAGAGGTTCTACATTTTAGGGCATTTTAGGTTTCTTATTCCTTTCGGTGTGTAGGCGATGAGCCTACATGCTGAAGAGAGGGAACTGATGTTGGGCTGACAATGAACCCCAGAACAACTCGGACAATCTCCACAATAATCTGGGGGGTTTGAAAAGTCTGCGCCTGCCCCCACATTGGGGCCCGTCTGTCCTGATCGAGTTCAAGCTTCAGCCAATCTTAACTTTATCTAGCCCTTTTAATGGATATGGCGTGATGTAAGGGTATTGCTTGTTTTGAGCCACGCGGTCTGGAATGTGCAGAAATTTGCTTTGCTGTGGCACCCTATGGCTGGCTTCATCATACAAATCAGCCTCGAAGTCAATGTGACTTTTCATAGCATCTGGAATCACTGGAAGCGTGCCCCGAAGTTTATGCCTCAAGACCTGAGAAAGCGCTGTCTGCAAGGCCCCATTCCAGGCTGGTCTCGCGAAGGAAGCCTTCGGGCCACTCGGATGAGCACTTATGACTGAAGCCGCCAGATCACACAGGCAGTGCTCAGAATCAAAGCAATATCAACATACGGGCTTTCAACTTTAAATCAGCGTTTGCATCCTGAGCTACCAGACCCGCCAGGCAAAAAATCAAGTCTTGTTGCTTTGTTCTTGCGCGGTCAAGCAGAGCGCGAGCTGCCCCAGCTGAACTTACATCCTGCAGCACACTGTGAGTATAGAGTTTGGAGGCAAGCTGACATTGAGGTTCTACTGCCTAGGAGAGATGGGTTAAAGGTTTGCAAGTCTCAGTTTCACAATCCGGCGCTGAGCATGAGTGTGGTCCTGGTAAAGAAGCCTGCTGCTGCTACCCCTGTTGTTACCTCCTACCACCACTCGAACCTGGCAACATGCTTGCAACCACTGCTGACCGTCAAAGACCTCAATCCTTCAACCCTTGATTCTTAAACCTTGATCTAAAATCCCCCGAACCCCAAAGATTGTCAAATCCTGACCTTAAAACCCCTGAACCTGAAACCCTAGACCCTTAAACAACTTTGGACCCAGCTTGTCGGAATGCTGACAAGACGATCTCCGGCCAGGAGCCTGTGCGGAACCTGGGCATGGCACAGCCGCGAGCACAGCCATGTGACCTACTGCTTTTGACCCGTATATTGGGGTTATATTGGGGTTATATTGGGGTTATATGGGGATAATGGAAAAGAAAATGGAAACTACTACAATGGGTTTAGGGTTTAAGGTTTAGGGTTATTTTTTGAATTTAAGGGGCTTCCAGGGATATAGTACCGGCACCATAGTTCATTATTGTGATGCAATGCAGGCCTTGACATATTCCCAAATAGGCCCTTAAGTCCAAAAGGTAGATAAGTTATTGTTGAATACAGCGCATGCGGAACGCTTGCGCTCAGCGCAGGTGCTTCCATCCATCTAACCTAGACACTAGATCCAGAAACCCTGAATACGTTCAGTGGGAATGCATTGTCATCATGAAGGCCTCAACTCCCAGCCCACGAAAGCCCAAGCAGGGGTCTCTACTTGATGGGGCTTGACAAGCCCCTCAACATCATTCTACTTCAGCTTTAAAAAAAACAAAGCTTTGGGAAGCCAAGGGCCGGCTTGGGCCACTCGCCGAACCGCCTGGTCATGCAAGAGGCAGTTCCCGCAACCAAGGGCAGGTATCTTTGGTACCACCTCTAACGTGAGCCCTGCGTGTGCAACCATCAAGCGCCATCTAGGTATGACTTGCTTCAGATATTTAGCTCCGCGACACCTGGTGCAAGTTGGAGACACTCGTCACAGGAAAGCAAAACTTAATCTGAGTGCAGATGATGACCTGAGACATGCCTCATCATGGAAATCCCTGTTGCCCATTATCTACTTGTGGGAGAACCAGTGCAGTCTGAGAGACTTCCTGATTTCCGGCAATCCCACCCCGCGCAACACATACTTTCAAAAAACTGCTGCCGCAGTCGCGACCACTTCATGGAGCCAAGCAGATTGACGAGGAGGACTCCACAGGGTTGTCTTTTCAGGGTCCTCACTCAGCTAGATCCTAGGAGTTGATATCAAAGGGTATCGCTTTGTTTTAGCATCGTCCATCTCAGCAGATTTAGTTCAGCTAACTGGGGATTTAGGAGCCGAGCTTTGTCCACATCAACATTCTGTAGGGATTCGCGTTGCGCTGCCAAAGGTCTACTTCAGCCTTCAGCCATGGTAGTGGTACTGGCACCAGTCGCAAAACAAATAAATGTCGATTATATTAAACATGCGAATCCTCACAGTGATTTTGCTTCATCATCCAGATCTTGTGCGCCCAGGATGACCTGGGAGAAGATCCCAATTGGGTTGTGGCCTAAGAGATGGAGTGACAGATTTCCCTAGGTTAGCCGTATGCAGATACTAGTAATTTGTGAGCATAGAAACAAAGAAAGAGAGCCCTGAGACTGCTGCAAGGTGGTCTGACCTGAGAGTTATAAGATGAAACTCCAAAAGGAAAGTCCTTAAGCAGCGAGGAAGCTGATGACCAAGCTGAGAACCGAACCCAGTGCTTGAACTGATGCCCCTGTAGCAAAGCTGCAAGGGACTGAATGCTTGGGATTTCGCATCGGAATCTAATCTTCAAACGCTACACAGCGCCTTGTATAGGTCTCCTTAGTTACGCTCAAATTCAAACGCGGAAGATAGGCTTCACTTTGGGCCGGGTTCTTGACTCACTGCAACCAGAGGGGAGGCGGGGGGTGGTGCAAAGTGTCCTCTTCCAACAATGGTATAGCACACTAAGTGCACAAATGCTGAGCCAAGCCTGCATTCTTGTACTCGGGAATTCTGGAATTGATCCTTACATAATCATGAGACTGGTAATCCATGCCCGTCTTTTTCTATCAGCAAGAGGTAATAACATAGCACCCCGAAACACCTTCAATATTCAGGGGCGAGGAGGGTGAAGATAATGCGTTTTTTTTTTTTTTTTAATTCTCAGCAAAGTCAAAGCCCCTTATATGGCAAAATACACTTTGTTTCCTGCCTTTTTTCGGGAGAGGTGGCTGAGCAAGGTACGTGTGAGAACCATGCCGCCCAAAGTTGGCCCGGCTGCCAAAGCACAGGTGGGGCAGTCCCAGCTAGGGATTAGGTTTTAGGGATTAGGTTTTTGGCCGGACCTGGGGGTTAGCGATCAGGCGTTTGGAGATTAGAGTCCAGGGTAGGTATCCTGGCAGCAGCAAAAGCTGCTTGTGAAATTTCTGTACGTAGCGGTTCGAGTGCTAGCCCCTCGGCCTCCTAGTGCAATCTCAAGAAGACCATCCTGGTTGATTGCCGAGGCTCATTTGCTAAGATCTGCGTACTTCACGCTCATCTCCTTGGTTATCTTCTCGAGTTACAGTACCCCATACAGGAACATGTATTTGAGTTTCTTGAATTCTGTGCAGGGCCATCATGCTGGGTCCTTGAACACGTGACAGACACCTGGATTCCCGATTGAATGGTACCCTACGTAACTCACCGCACCCGACATACGAAACTGCGCCAGGTGCTGAAATCTAGGGGCCGAAGCAAGCCATCAACTTTAAAACAATGTTCCAAAAACGCAGACTGCTTGGGGTAAGACGGGCACCTCCCATCGGATTTTCCCCGCCAAATATCTGAAGTTTCCTATTGCCATGATTGAGGGTGATGATTGAGGGTGGAAAATCACAGAATATTGGGGTATGGCAAAGTAAGCCTCCTTTCGCAGCCCACGGCATGAGACCAAAAACTGCATGAATACTATAGTACCGTATATATATATATAGACGCACACACACACACACTTACTTATGTACATATATATATATATATATGTAAGTAAGTATTTAATAGTCATAGACGCCCCCCTCAAACACCCCATATATTCCCGTAACTGCGGCTTCCGGAAGGCGTTGGCTCCGCAAGCCGCCCTTCCCACAGGCCTGGGCTATTAGGCTTCTGTGAAGGCAGATGTAACCACCGTTATATAAGCGTACCTGTCATAGGGATATTATGGGAATGTATAGGGACATTTATTTTTTTGTAGGGATATCTGCATAACATTATGCTCATGCTAATGGAAGAGGATGGAATATGAAATGGAAAAGGCGGTTGTAGACGAGTGCCATCAAGATCATGGTTGCGAAGGGCATCGTGAGGGTGGACAAGGCCTCCTCGTGGTATTTAGTTTTCTCCATTTCTGTCACCCTTTCACAATCCCCCTGGAAAAGACTTACGGGCAGTCCTGAAAAAAGCAAAAGCTCTGCTGTGTAAGTTGTAGTCATGTAGCCATCCTCCCATGCACCGCCTGACACAAACTGTTTGCCGAAACCTGGTGTGAGAAAATCTTGCCTTGCTTTCGCCTAAGGTACAAGGAATCTGTTGGAAAATAGACCATCGGCTTTCTGAGCAACATGGAACATTTGTGATTCTTCGAGGCTGCACTCAGTGCCACACAGCCCCAAAGCCCGACAGAATCCCTACACAGGCCCTTCAGTAGAGCTCATGCCACCAGGCATTGAGCATCACGCATCACCTTCGGTGGCCAGCACTGCGGACACCGCGGAGCGGGCTCCGAAGAACGATTCGGTGAGGTCCGAGCCAGAGGAGGCTCAGGCACGAGACGTCAAGCGCAGGGTGACCAAGGGAAAGACTTCGGAGCTGATCATTTTCTAAGAGTTATATGGGATACTCTTCAACGTTGAGGCACTACAGGAGAGATGGTCCTGCCTATGGCGCTGTAGAAAACGGTAATCAGAAGCATGCCAGTAAGGTCAATGCTGTGAACCAACATGAATCGTTGCAATGGCAAAACTATCGCCGACATTTCTGGCATTGGCATGATAGCTCAATGGCTGTAGGGCCAGGAGTGAGATGGTCAAGCATGGTTTTCGCAATGGATGCGAGTAAAAGGTCACAAGTTGAAGAATTGCTGCACCCTATCCGATTGAAAGGGGCCGGAACAGCAAGGTGAGTTTTCCATAACCAGGACTCAATGCCAACAACCCAACGCAATTGCTACGGTCACAGGCAGAAATTGATGCCGAGCGCTTGCCCGATCCACCTTGTATGGAAGCCTGATTTTTGATAGACATCCTTGAGTAGACCAAACCTTAAGGTGAGAACCCGCAACATGTTCCCCGTATCGTGACATTCTATCTACTTCAGGAGGCCCCCTGTCCTTGCAAAGGAGGATCCTGGGGGAGACGACCTTGGAGAGGACCCTGTTTGGAACAGAGTGCATTCTACACCTGCAGGCGGGCAGTTCCGTTGTGCTGCTCTTTGGGGATGGGGGCCGCTCATCAGGACCCTGGCAAGATTAGCATTGGTATTTGTCTGTTGATTCACTCCTTGTGTAGGGTTGTACAAGGTGTGTAGCATTTTTGACAGCCTGCAAAGAAACTGAGAAGTGGTAAAATCTGGAGGGTCTTGGTGGTCCGGGTAGTGTTGTAGATCATCCCTACCATGCAAACTGATGATGCGCAACTTGACCTTTCATCGGGTACAGTCATCGTTACTACTATTCAATATTCGACCCCGGGAGTAGTTGGCATTCTCTGACTGAGAGATGCCTGAACTCGCAGCCATTTCAGCTATTCCCTACAACTTTTTCTGGAGTAGTCACGCATGTCATACCTGCTTGCTGACGGCTCTGCAGGTTCATCCAACTACATGGCGCCTCAGCCAATGCTCCTTGGCTGCCGTGCTTCACAGCCCTTGCTCCGATTCTCACGTGACAGTGGACGTAGTACCCCTCCTCGCACATTACGCAGGCCCTCATCAAAATCACAGCTACCGATGCACACTCCGAAGAGCCGAATCCTCAACAGAGCTGTCTTTCAGTCGTCATGCCTAGGTTTCAGAAAGGCATCGTGGGCACTTCTGGGGCCTCTGATGATGCTGCAGTCTGATACTCAGCTGTCTCGCCAATTAGGCTCTTGTTTTATTGCGGCCAGGAAGGACTTGTTGTGTAGACAAGGCAGCAGGAGTCATGTTGGTGGGAGCAAATTCCTGCTGCGCAATTCTTGTAGAACTAGCCGGAGTCACGGGAGAAGTAAGAGAGCAGGCATAGCAGACATAGAAGCAGGAATGAAATCAAAGTAGAAGAAGTCACAGGCCCAGCAAGCGCAGCAGCAGCACGATTGTTGATCTTAACAGAGTGCGCATAAAGTGGAAGCATTTGAAGCATGACGTCTGAAGTCTAATTCTAAGGCGAACTAATGACTGTGCGCGTCAGAGCAATAGTACAATAATACGCACCGCTACACGTACTTGGGGGCCCATGGGACTTAGTAGCTATTTATAACTGGGGTTATAACCCTACTTATAATTGGGGTAACCCCTATAAGCCCATTTAGGGAGATTGTAATTAAGGTTAAAAGCCCAATTATAAGTAGTTACTAAGTTGCATGGGCCTCCAAGTAGCCTCCGGCACATGCCCCTGTAGAAGCAGGGTCACCTTCCGTTTGCCAGAATCACCGAATGGTTTCTCTTCTTAATCGTCACCTATAACGGACAAGCAAAGCTTTTCATCCTTACTTCGCGTGAACTTGCTCCCAATTAAGTCTGCTACAAAAAGCCCGTTGAACATTCTTCTCGTGATGCTAGGACTAGTACAAGCTGTATAGCTTAGGCGGTGGTTGCAAAGATAGGAACATGACTGCAAGTTATCACAGCAACACAGACAACATGGGTTGATTCATTCACTGGTTTTGGAATAAACTAGAAGTCAGTGGTATGAGTTATGAGAAGCAAAGTGGCAACTGTGACCATGCTTCGCACAGCAGAGGTGGCAGGAGCTAAACATGTCAAGTCTTGAAAAAGGCAGCAGCAGAACTCGTAATACTTCCAGTAGTGAAGGTAGTGCTGGTATTGGAGCACAGATGCGATTCATACACACCAACAATGCTGGCCTTACTACGAAAGCACACTTCGACTTGGCGCAGTTTGGGCCGAATCGGCGCTGCACAACTATGGATCAGGCTTGTGTGTGGGTTTGCAGGTTCATGCAGGTTTAGTTGGGGGGGGGGGAGTTTCAGTTGGGGTAGGGTTAGGCTATAGAAATTAGGTCTTTATCACGTCAACCCTTGTTCGATCAAGCCCCTTCCTTTGGCAGCGTTAGGAAATCTTGTTGGTCCTTCGCTTCTAGTGACCTTGAGAGAAAACGATGTATGAAACGACCACCATCCTTTTGCGAGTCCTGCTTTGTGTCTCCTTCGTTCGAGACTTCGCTCAACGTTCGGTGACCTAGCCTCACCGATCTTGTGGTTAGCTGCAAGGATCGAGGTATCTTCAGAATCTGATGCTTTGGCGTTTGTGGGCTGCCTGTCTAGTTATGAGTGGCAAGGATAGTTGCCTTCGCCTTTGACACTTGCAGATCATACTGCGATGCCTGTAGATGAAGCTTTCTGAAGATTTCGGAGCCACCGTGTGACTGATTGGATCATACCTTGTAAAGAGCTGCCGCGCATGACTTGGGAGGTCCGAGGACGGGCAATGGCGCCCGTAAATCTTCCAGCGCAAGGCCGCTCGCAAGAGGAAGTCTTGTTCTCCAAGGTTAGAGTTGAGAGCGACCTCTGCCTATTTCCGGGCGTGCTCGGCACTCTTATTCCTGCGTATCCGAGGCGTAACTGCCATGCTAGTTAATCTGAGGTTGGAAGTATGACCCCCTAATACGGGCCCTTAGGCCTTTCAGGGGATTCTAAGGACCCTTAAGGGTACATATGGAGTATATAGTAGGTATATAGGGATCCCAGGGTGAAGGGCCCATACTAGGGGCTGGCGATTTCAGCCGTAGAGTTGAAGCGTGGCCAGAGGCAACGTCGTTCCCGTGATGATGTTGGTGCCGCAGACGCTTCTGACTCCAACTGGGCAGGCAGGCTTCACACAGTTGCAGCATTAGGCATTACTGTACCAGCTGTGCAATGCCGTTAAGAACATCCGATCAATTGAATGCACATGCAGGCGCAGATGCCGTACATGATGGGCAATCAGCAGGGCATGCAGCAGGGCATGCAGCAGGGCATGCAGCAGGGCATGCAACAAGGCATGCAACAAGGCATGCAACAAGGCATGCAGCCCATGCCCGGCCGCAGCCCCAGTGCCCGCCATCTGACATCACCATTTGATGATCAAGCAGTAAGCCCTGAAGACATGGAACCTGAGCAAGCTGAAACTTAGTTTCTTCAATGTCATAAGAGACTTGACTTCATAGGTTGGCATTTAGCCCTTGTTGCCGGGTGTGTGTCGTGCGTGGCTCTGGGTGGGAGGTGGAAGAACAAGCGAGTCATTCAAGATGCCCGAAAACTATTATGTGTACTTCAAACCCTTGTGCTCCTCTTCTTGCAAGGCCCAGGCGTCCTGCAGCAACAGGTTCAAATGCAGCCAATGCAGCAGGTGCGCAGGGATTGGCCCTAAGTTATAACTCCTCGTCAAGCTGTGAAGCGAGAATTGAGGAAGCACCTCCTCACTCAACATTGGTTTCTGTGCTAGCCCAGACACTGTAGCTCACCACCATACTGTTTTGCTGTGCATCACAAGCTTCCTGAAGATTCTTGTTCGAATGCCAAAAGCGTAACAGTTTCAACTGGTCGCTCGAACTGCTGCGAGGTACTGCAAGGGCAGCCCCAGCAAGCCCAGCCGCAGCAGCAACAGCAGCAGCAGCAGGATTGCCTTTGATTCATGTTCAGTATTTTGCTTCACCATTTCTAGATGCAAGCGAGACGTTGCAGGTTGAAACGCAGCTGCTCCGTGTTACGTGCAGTTCAGGTTAAACTAAGAGTGATGTCTTCGGCTGGAGCGTAGCAACATTTGTCAGGTTGGCAGTTTGCTTTTTCAGTTTCCGATTGTTACATTTTCCAAATGCCCCCGAACAGGTCTGAACCGCTTGACGCGAAAGCTCTCTGTGCTTTACACATAATCTCCCTACCGAAGCATGTTCTCCCACCAATGCCTCTGTCAGCCCTCAGGTTGATCACATTAGGATGCTTGCTTCTCCAAGCTTACGCGATCCGAGTAAGAGACAAAAACGGTCCCCGATTTTGCCAATTTTTTTTGTGTTTGGCATGCTTTGCTTTGCGATGATGGTGCAGTCGTTTGCTGCAGTGATAGTTGCAGATCTTGCTACAGAGCGTTCGAAGTGCGAAGTGAGGCAAAGGCTTCTGAACCTGAGAGCTATGACTCGAGCACTGAAATTGTACCAAGATGGTTATGACTAGCAAGGCAGATGGCTGGGATGGTGCGGGAATTCTTCCGCTACCACTGTCTCAACGTACTTTCCATCAGCAGCCACTGAGCTTCCCAAAGTCGCGCCAACGCACAGCTTAGGGCACAAGGTGTAATCCCCCTAGTATCCCCAAATCGCCTTCGGGTCCCAGACCACACCATGCGAATTTGTTGGAAGCTTCGAAATTCTGCAGGACTTGCGACACTTGCAAGCACAGGTCTTGCAGGCTGGGAGGGGACATGGCTTGCTTGAATTTGAAGTGAGCAAACGCGCCAAACTATGATCTGTTTCATTGCTTGCTAGATTATCTGATTTATTGTTTGCTTTCCAAGAAGATGCAAACAGACCGGCTCTTCTGGACCAGGCGGCCATGCCTGAAGTTTACGAAGAT